ATCCATCCATCCATCCATCCAGTCCATCCATCCGTGCGTTCTAAGCGCCTAGTCTATACCATGAAGTGTGCTAGGCGCTGAGAGGACTTGAGCTGCCCAGGGAAGGGGAAATCGGAGGCTTGAATTGGAAGTCATAGTTAAGGCTCCAGGGGCAGAGACCTAACCGTGCCTTGTGTGTAGTGCTAAGGGGGCTTCCTGAGGATGCTATTAACCTTAAAGGCGGATGGCAGGAGCTGGTGGCTGAAGTACAGTTTGTGCACCGGGGTTGGCAGGCAAGGGTGGGAGGCGTGTGTCTTCAGACAGGGAACAGCATGTGCAGAGACTTCAGGTGAGAGAGAGCATGGCTCCCCAGGAATGAATGCACATTCCCATAGCTGGGAGAGTATTATCTGGAGGTTAGGGAAAGATGAGGCTGGACAAGTAAAGACCAAATCTTCCTGGCTCTTGGATCACCACAATCAAGATAATGAACATCTCCACCGGCCACCAAAATTTCCTTGTGTGAGGGGCTATCTTAGGAAGTATGATCAAGCAGGGCCTGGCCAGGTGCAGTGGCTCACGCCTGTAATCCCAGCACTTTGAGAGGCCAAAGTGTGCGGATGACCTGAGGTCAGGAGTTCGAGACCAGCATGGCCAGTGTGGTGAAACCCTGTCTCTACTAAAAATACAAAAAAAAGCCAGGTGTAGTGGCACATGCCTGTAGTCTCAGCTACTTGGGAGGCTGAGGCAGGAGAATTGCTTGAACCCGGGAAGCGGAAGTTACAGTGAGCCAAGTTTGTGCCATTGCACTCCAACCTGGGCAACAGAGCGATAGCCGTCTTTAAAAGAAAAAAAAAAGAGAGAGAGACTGGTCTGATGAGGTGTCACTTGAGCAAAGAGTGGAATGAAATAAAGGATAGCAAGCCACACAGAGAGTGCAGCAGGCATGGAGGCGGGAGCAAGGCTGGTGTCCCTGAGCAGCAGCAGGGAAGCCGGAGTGGCTGGACTTGTGTGGGTATGGGGAAGAGGGGAGAGGTCACTCATCTCTGTGAGGCCCGGGACTTTGTTTTATCCCCTGCTGTACCCCAGCGCTTAGAGTGGGAGCTAGCACAGAGAAGGTACTCAACTGATGTTTGCTGAGCAGACGAATGCCTGGAGTAGACCTCAGAGCAGGGTTTAGTGGCAGGGTGGGTCAGGGAGAGAGTTCACTCCACACCCTGGTGATAGGGGAGAACAGGTGGCCAGAGGGTATCCATCTATGATGGGGACCAGGGGTCCCTGCTGGGCAGCAGTGTGGGAGACACACGGATCCTGGCCACACCTCAGCCCTCCCTCCAGCCTGATTACCTGCCCCCCTCCCTTGCAGAGGTTCCGGTTCTGTGGTGATCTGGACTGTCCCGACTGG